TCACAGTCTCTTTATACAACTGTATGTAAATCCCCAGGAAGTCCCTGGGTGGCACAAACAGTTTGCAATGGACTACTAACCTAAAGGTTGACAGTTCAAGCCTATCAATTTAACTGTGGAAGAAAGGCCTTACGGTATGTTTCCATAAAAATTACAGAAATGAAAACCTGATGAAGCAGTTCTACTGTGTAACACTTTAAGTAGTCATGAGTCAGAAGCAACTCAACCAGTGAGAGAAAAAAATCCCAAGGGTCATTGATCTGTGGTTGAGTTAATTCTGACTCACGACCATTCAATGTATATGACTTGTCCAATGTAAAACAGATCACCTGCTCTGTAAACCTACATTCAATTCACAATAAAATATTTAAGGTCCACTGGGGCAGAAAAAAACTTCAAAGATAATTATTGAGGCTCCTACAAATATTTAAATTCCTAAGCATTTGGGACCATGTGACTCAATTATTTGCAAGCCTAACATCTGCATCAGGCATTTTAAGAACGTTATATTTGTAAACCATTTACAGTACTCTGTGCTGGCCTTGCTTTTTAGATGTCTTCTTCTCCTTTAGGTTTTCAGTAATTACTTACATATTATGGAGTGTTAGTACTTATCCAGCAGAATAGTAATATATTCCAAACAGGCATACCGCTACCATACCTATTTCCTTGAAAACTGGAATGGAAAAATAAACTAGAGCCTTATATATGGGAAAGTGTCAGCCAGACTAGTAAAGTCTCTTCCTAAATGTAGCACCAAATGTCCTTTGAAGTGTAATGTATATATATACACTTTCAAATTTCTCAAGATGGAAAACTAAGTTTTTTTTTAATGATTAATACATTCATTGGTTAAAAGGCAGGAGACTTAATATGGTGTTTCAGCTAATGCTTTCTCAGAGTAAATGTTCCTGCACAAATCATAGAGTTTTATGTCTATAGTACCAGTCTAACTTGCTGAGTGCAAACAAAAGACTCCTGTCTTCAACAGCCCCCTAGCATAACCCGTGGGTAGGTCAGTCCCTCTGTAAAGAAACTGTTGCATAACCATGTCTTAAAAGTTGTGCTCTGTTTAATTTTTTTTTTAATGTTCAGCAAAAAGAATAGCTCTGGCACCTTTATTTGATGTGTCTCTTAAAAATGTAGGTTCAACATTTAAATTTCATTTGCTAAAAACTGGATTTAAAAAGAATTCCTGGTGTGGTGCAGTGTGATCATCACTAACTGCGAACCACAAGGTTGGCATTTCAAACCCACCACCTGCTCCTCAGAAATCCTATATAGGGTCACTTTGAGTCAGAACCAACTCAACAGCACTTTAACAACATTAAAAAAAAATCAACAACAACAACAACAACAACAAAAAACACAGCAATTCAGTCACAGAAAAACACACTAGAAGATAAAACAATTAATGCTTAGACATGTTCTTCTGATAGTGGGAATCTTGACTATTCTTTTTTCTCTCCAATTTTTCCAAAAATATTTTTCCTAAATAAACACAGTTTCAATGCCTTTCAAAGTATGTTGTTGTTATGTGCCGCGGAGTCAGTTCCGACTCATAGCGACCCTGTACAGGGTTTCCGAGGCTGTAAATCTTTACGAGAGCAGAAAGCCTCATCTTTCTCCTGAGGAACAGCTGCTAGTTTCGAACTGATGACCCTGAGGTTAGCAGCCCAATTTGTAACCACTATGCTACCAGCGCTCCTTTCTTAAAGCATAACATAACATACATAAATGTTGTTGAGTCAAGGGTTATAATCTGTAAGTAATTAAAGAATAATCAACAGGTGCCCTGCAGAACCAGTTGTTTTCCCTTCTCCTCAACTGGTATCAGGGTCTCCCTGAAGCTGCGGTCAATTACCTCAGCTCCTGCTCATACCTGACACCATCTCCTACCTGAGCCATGATATACAGAGTAGATTTAAAAGGGCTCAGTGTCAGATTAAGAGACCTGTGGTCTGACCTGGTTCATTAAGCTCTTCACGCCATCATGCTGCTCTGCCTCCAATCCCTCCCTGTTCCTAGGCTCACTTAGCTTCTATCCAACCAGTAAACATTTACTTTCCCCATGTTCTGAACAATTCATCAGTCAGCCTAGCTGCTGACCCCAATTTGACCTTCTGCCCTAAAACTGAATTCTTCTCTTAGGCCTCAAGGCTGAATTCCAAGAGCAAATATTCTAGCTGCCTCTTGTCCTCCAGAGGAAAGCATCCCCTGGCAGGCAATTAGAAACACAGCCCCACCCCAGGCCTGTTCAATTCACTTGTGCATATTATCAAGATCCTCAGGTGATTTGTGAGGCGTTCTGGTATGGTGCTGTGGGTTAATGTACTGGACTGCAAAGTCAGCTTGAACCACAAGGTCAGAGGTTCAAGCTCACCAGCTGCTCCTCAGAAACCCTAAACAGGGTCTTTATGGGTAGGAACTGACTCAATGGCATTTAACAACAGCAGATGATTTGTACTTACTTTAAGACTGAGAAGCATGATGAGGGGCAAATCACAATTCTAACCTCCAATGTATGAATATGGACTCCTAACCAAACTCCTGTCTTGCCTGCTTTATACCAGGGATTAGAGATGAGCTTTCTATAGCCAAATACAATGATGTTAAAAATGCTAAGGATGGTAGAATAACTCCCCCAAACCATACCTGCCTCATCTCCTGCCAGTCATCACTTCCTACTTTATGCTCCAGCCACAGGTAACAGCAGTTAACAAGAACTGCATTATTATTTACTCAACTTTCCCCAGTACACCCAACTCCTCACTTACTGATATGGTTAGGTTCCAAAGACTCAGTCCTTATGCAAAAATCAGTATTATTCAAAGACGGAGGAGGACCACATTAGATCACAAAATGGACCATAACTACATTGTTACATACTTCTCAAATTTCATCATGACATAACTGCCAAACCACAGAGAATCATGGCCCAGTCAGGCTGACCCATCACTTCTACATTACTCTCGCCTCACACCTCAGCATTCCTTTCTGCCAGATAGCTGTTGTTAATGCACAAAGTAATCAGCCAGTAGATTGTTTGTGAATTATTGTCACAATATGAAATGTTGGGTAATGAGATTGTTGATATGAGGTATAGGTGTATATTTATCTCTTTCAAATATTGTTAGAGTGAATACATAAGAAGCATAATGGGTAACTGACTTGTACAGGGTACAAGGGAATTGGAGGTCTAGGGTATGAGGACTTTTCTTTTTATTAGTTTTCTTTTTTCTGTTTATTTCATTTCAATTTACAGACATTAATATTTCAATTTAAATAAAATCATTCCTTAGAAGAAAATGAAGCAGGCTCGGTCACTGGAAATGCCTGTGATATTTTACTGCTACAGAATTCAGCAGGTTATAACTTACCTCAGTGTGTCCATGTGTTTTTAAAAGTATTCAGTGGATATTATGGGGAAACTTGCTGAATAATTCATACAATTTCAAAATAAAATTATTGAAAACAAAAGCTTAACACTTTTTTTGATTCCTTAAACACATTATTTTTTAACATTTAAACATTTTGGTTTGTCAAAATTAGTCTTAAACTCTGAACTGTGAGATTCATAGTTTAAACATAAAAATCTATAGCACTAATAAAGTCCTTAACTCATCTGCCATAGTCATATGGTGATCCACAGCCACTTGAGCTTACTCATTAATTCAATTGAGACTTACAAAGAAGCCGCCTTGATGAAGGCATTGTGCTGTATGTGCACGGTACAAGTGGTTATTTATGTCTTTTCCAAGCCAGTATTTATTGAAGGGAGTTAAGAGCTACCATTATGTTATATTCCAACATATTTTTAAATCCATATAAGTATGCATGCAATTATACTTTTCAAAACAATAATTTTATTTTCACTTATAAAATTATATAACCACAAACTAAGTGAAATCTAATTTTTAATATCAATCATTTCAACCAAAGGCTATACCAAAATGTTCTTACTAATATGAAATTTGCTTTCTTAAATCTGCATGCTTTGAAAGCTTCTCATATGTTCCCAATTTAAACTTTGAAGTCTGAAAACAGTTTAAAAACATTTCCTCAGAAACATTCCAGAGTGGGAATGGTCTTAACTTAATAGTCCCTGAGTATATGAGTCCAAGTGAAAAATGAAAGAAGTCCTTGGAAAATTTATATTTAGATGCTTACTTTTAATATCATTTTCATTCATTCTTTGCCATGCTTTATGAGACACTTACATTTTCTAAAAAGACTCAGACAATACTCCTATTCTTTGGATTAGCATTGCTACTGAGTTGTTAAAAGAACAAAAATAATTGATAAATTGAATTAAAAAAAACAAGGCACAGAAAGAAAGGGGTAGGGGAAGAGAATCACAATCAAAGTTAATCAGATCTCAGATTGACTAAATTTAGACACTGGTGTGGCACTGCAGAATAATGCATTGGACCGCAAGGTTGGTTTGAACCGAAAGATCAGAGGTTTAAATTCACCAGTCACTCCTCGAAAACCCTCTATCTATGAGTTGGAACCAACTCAATGGCACTTAACAACAATCTAAGTGCAAAGAGCTTGTTAAATTTCTTTCCTAGATTTGCTTCAAAATCCAAGAATGAAACAGAAGAGTAAATAGCTAGATTTTAAGATGCAGAAACTTGAATATACTTTTGGAAAATTTTTATTTCTTTAAAGTCAAACTAGACAATAGGTCCTTGTGTTTTCATATTTTGGCTACTTTAAAAAAATAAATAAACAAACTACTAATGTTCCAGATCAGCAGGAAACTAGACTGATTATTGTTTTTACAACTAGAATATAACAATAAGGCAAATAAGCTTGCTAAGAAGACAGAAAGCTTGGACCAATTTTTATATATAAAGCAAATATCTCATGTAATTTTCATTTTGGATAGTGGAAAGGAGACATATTGTAAAACTAATACTCTTGAGGATCACAGGCATACTTCATTTATAAAGCATAAGAGAGTGTTAAATAACCATGACCCTTTGAAGAAATACCTGAATAAATGAAGCGCAGAATGTCTGATAAACAAGAGCAGAAGAGCACGTCCTTAACAATGACTCGTAAAGGCGGGTTGCCTGGAGACTCCTGGCCAGCACCTGGAAATGCAGGGTCTCTGTTGATAGCAAAGAGGTCCTGGGCAGTCCTGATGATACTGGCATCCTGGATGTCGGTAGGACTCTTCACATTGAAAAGCAGCATGAAAACATGGCTGACAGCACAGAGAACGATCTTGTGGGCCTCTACAACGTCCCTTATATCTGGGTTGTAAAATACCACATCCACACACTGGCAGCAGAAGAGCAGGTTATTTAAATCAGAGTTATAATGTGATGCTTCAGCCTTTAAGATAGGCATTTTTTCTGTTTTAAAAACGAAAATAAAAATAACAAACTTCTCATTAGGTCTATAGATCTAATAATTTCAGGCTTTCATTAGGTTAAAAAAAAATAAGCAAAAAACAATAAGTTGTTTGTTAATAATATCATTAGGTAGAACCATATAAACTTGCCGATTTCTGACCTATAAAAACAACTTTGTACAACTTAGCCTAGTTACCAACATTTATAAACTAATTATTCAAGTACTATAGAATTTCACAAAACAGGCACACACTTGAATACCATGTTTATATTTGAAAAACCTATAAATGATGTAAAGGCAAAAAAATAACAGTTCTAATGACTTATGGGGGTGTTCAACCCACCAGCTGACCCAAGGGAGAAAGATGAGGCTGTCTGCCCTGGTGAAGATTTAGATTCTCAGAAACCCTAGCCAGGGCTGCTATGAGTCAAAATCAATTGGATGACACTGGGTTTTATTGGGGTGTTTTGGAAAATAAGAAGAGCCTTGGTGGCATAGTGGGTAAAGTGTTGAGCTGCTGACTGCAGAGTTAATGGTTTGAATCCACCTGTCTTGCTTTGAGATGTACAGCCTCTAAAACCCTATGAAGCAGTTCTACTGTCTCCTGTAGGATTGACATGAGTCAGAATCAACTTAAGGACAGTGGGTTTGGGGTTTTTTAAATAAATAAAAGGAGCCATGGTGGCAAAGTAGTTAAGCACTAAGCTACTAATTCAAAGGTCCTTGCTTTGAACCCACCAGGGTACTCAGAGAGAAAAAGATATGTCAATCAGCTTCCGTAAAAAATACAACCTTGGAATCCTTTGTTGTTGCTATGTTCCATAGACTCAGTTTCGACCATAGTGACCCTGTATCATGTTTCCGAGGAGCGGCTGGTGAGCATGAACAGCCAAACTTGCGGTTCAAACCTACTTGGCAGTTCAGCGTATTAACCCACAGCGTTACGCCAGGAATCCCTCTGAGGGCAGTTTTATTCTGCCCTACAGGGTCACTATGGAGTCCTGGTGTGGCGCTGTAGGTTAATGCGCCAGACTGCAAAGCCATTTGAACTGCAAGGTTGGCAGTTCAAGCTCACCAGCTGCTCCTTGGAAACCATATACAGGGTCACTATGAGTCGGATTCTACTCGAAGGCAACAACAGGGTCACTACGAGTCAGAAGCAACTCAATAGCAATGGGTTTGGGTTTTTTTGTTTTTAAAATTAAATATTCCCCAAATACTGAACTTAAGCAGTCATCAATTTTTACTTTCACCTGGTTAAAAAAATCCAAACCAATGACTGCATCAGCTCCTTGCAGTGCAACAACAGTCCTCCTCCTCTTGGATCTGGATGAGGAGATGGAGGGCTAAGCTGTTACAATTCTGCAACTTCTCAAAGTCAACACTCAGGGTTTTACCTTGACTGTTTGAAACCATTATTCCCATTTCATTTTAATTTGTATATTAGTAAATTTTTTTCTTCCTAGCAAAATAATATGGTCCCCCTGAACCAACTCATTTATCTAAGATTTTGCAGAATGTTAACCCAGTTCTGTTTATAGAATGGTATACAGAAAACCACCTTGTGAACATTGTGAAGGACACTTATGAAGGACCTAGATCGACTTTTAGTACTTAGTATCCTGGATGAAGACCCACAAGAGAAATTTCTTATAGAGATAAATGGCATTTCACTGCTTTGCTCTCTCTTAGAAATTGCTGTCTTCTCTTCTTAATTAAAAACAAACTAGCTCTCTACTAGTACACTACTTAACTGTGGCTATTCTTAACCCATATTCTAATCCACAAAGTATTTGAGACTCCACTCTTGGCTACACAACAGACCAAGTCTCCCTTTTCACTCTGAACTCTTCATGGTCTATTTATCTACATTTGTTTTTTAAACCTAGAGTTGACTGTCCATCCTAATTTATATTTGCCTGGTTTTTAAACTAGTGTTTATTCAGTCAATAAAAATGTATTAAGGAACTACTTTTTCAAATAATTCTTCTTCTTGTTAAGTGCCATCTAGTTGGTTCTGACTCATAGTGACCCTGTATAGGGTTTCTGAGGAGCAACTGGCTGGTTTGAACTGCTGACCTAGTGGTTAGCAGTCCAATAGTGCCACACCAGTACAATAGCAATAGTTAATTGATCCAGATGATTATTCCTGTCACAGAGTTGTACAAACAGTTCTAAGATGAAATATAATTTGTTTCTTAGGATAATAGCTGATGTCTTTTTATTTTTAACTTTATTTTTCCTTTAACTTTCTATTACAAAAAATTTCCAAACATTCAAAAACTTGAAAATATGATACAATGAATATATATATACTCTCCACTTAGACTGTGCAATTATTAACAACTTGCCACTTTTGTCTTATTGCTAGACAGGCAGACACATACACATTACTGCACCATTTAAAAGTAAATTGCAGTTATCAGATTACTTTAGCTTTCATAACAGAACACTTTAGCTTTAATAACTTCACATTAATCTCCTAAGACTGAGGACTTTCTCCTAGTTAATCATAATACCATTATCAGACATAACAAAATTAACAACCATTTCACAATATCATCTAATTTCCAATCACTACTAACATAATTGGAGTCTTGGGGTGGCACTGTAGGTTAATGCGCTGGACTGCAAAGTTGGTTTGAACCACAAGGTTAGCAGTTCAAACCTACCAAGTGCTCTTGGAAAACCCTATATGGGTCACGATGAGTCAGAACTGACTCAATGGCACTGAACAACAACAACTCAAATATTATTCATTGTCCCAAAAATACCTTTTACAAATGTTTTCATTGAAGTAGAATCCAATCAGGGCACATGACTGTACATATTACATCTGGTTGTTTATTATGTGTTAACCTTCAATTTAGAGCAGTCACTCCACATTATTTTTAAGAATCTAAGGCTCAAGTTTTCAAAGACAGTATTTCTCAAATTGTGGCCCAAGACCTGTTTTGTGAACCACCTGTTTCATCAGAATCCACTAGAAAGCTTATTTAAAAAGCAGACTTGTACTGCCTTCCCAAACTGAATGAGAATGTCAGGTAGTTCCTGAGTACAGTTAAATGTCAGAATAATCACTAAAGACTAATGATCTATCATAAATTGTAACTGAAAAATAAGTGTTAAAATAATTCATTAATAAGCAAATAAGCAAACAGCGATTGGATATCTGGGCCCTGGCTTATAAATGCACCTGGTTGTTCAAGCTGAGGTGGTCTAATTCCATGAAATGAGCTGCTCATTTTTCTTTTCTTCATTTTTTCACTTGTCTTCTGATTTAAGGCTTGAATCATAAAATACTCCAACTAAAACATGAAACAAATTTTAATTAAAGCACCCACAAAACCATATCTGGTATGATTATTTGTACACCCAAATCACAAGTATGAAACATTTTTAATATCAGTATTATCTACATTTATGGATTAACTAAAACTCCAAACCAAACCCAGACAAAATGAGTTGATTCCAACTCATAGTGACCTTATACCTTGTAGGGCAGAGTAGAACAGCTCCTTAGTGTTTCTGACACTGTAAATCTTCAGACGAGCAAACAGTCTCATCTTTCTCCCTTGAAGGGGCTTGTGGGTTTGAACTGTAGTAGTCCAACACTTAAACTCCACTATACAGACTTATGTACTAACAGATGTTTAAAAGTTTATGGTAATGTGTTAATGTTTTGTTAACTATTTTAACAAGTGTTTTAGTAAACATGTTAATGTTTAAGTGAAACATGTAAATCCTTTTTTTTTAAAGTTTTTTCAAACTTATCAAGTAGAACGATTTGTGCCTTGTTTAAGAATAACAAATGAGCCATTCAAGGATGCAATGTTGATTCTCTTGAATAATCAAGGAAGTCAAGCACTCTAACCATGCGGCTTTCCATAGTCCTCTCGGTGGGCAACCGTAGTATTTAATACTAGGAGCAGATTCAAGGTAGTAACAGCTCTGGCATATGTCTGTTGTTGATGACGTCAAGTCACTTCTGACTCACAAGGACCCTAGGTACAAACAAACCACTGCCTGATCCTGCACCACCCTTACAATTGTTGCTTTGTCTGAGTTCATTTGCTGTAGTGTCAACCCACTCTTCCCCAGGAAGAGATCGTCTTCTGGCACTGTATTAGACAATGTTCTGATGCTATTTAGAAGGTTTTCTGTTTCTTTCTAGTCTATCTTAGACTGAAAACTCTGCTAAAATCTCTCCACCATGGGTAAGCCTTCTCATATTGGAAACACCAGTGGCATATTGTCCAGCCATCACAGTAAAAACACAAGCCACTATAGTATGACAAACCAACAGACAAGTGCTGCACTCTATGTCTACAGAAGCTCTTATCAACTAGAGAACTTCACATGGGCCCTAACTTGCTTCTCCTGATCAAAATACTTTGAAGTCTGTCTTTTATTTTACAAATTTTAAAACTTTTACCCGCAACAACTTACATGCCACTAAGGCCTACGCTGTGAAGAGGGCTGGGGCAAAAGTATAATAGAGGTCTACTAGGTTCCCTAGAGGAACAGAGCCTGTGAAGCATGTAAATCTGTGTGTGTGTGTGTGTGTCTGTGTATATATATACACACACACATATACAGATTTTATATATATATATGGTTTGTTAAGTGACGTCGAGTCAGTTCTGATGAATAGAGACCCCTGTATAGGGTTTCCAAGGAGCGGCTACTGATCTTGAGCCGTCAACTTTGTGGTTCAAACCAACTTTGCAATCCAGCACATTAACCCACAGCACTATACCAGGACACTCTCTCAATCTCTGTCTCTGTCT